GCCACATATTTTCCACTTGTGCTCAGCATAATTGATTGAGTCAAGGAGGGCTGTCATGTTTGCATAAATATATATTCTATAATAGAGTGTAGTTTTATTATATACTGATCTGAGGAGTTTTACAAGAAAAATGCCAACGAAAATTTGAAATAATTGAAGATGCACTATTTTGTAATGAAACATTTTTTTACAAATTTTACTAAAAAACCTTTCTCGTATATTTTGTATTATTTAGATTATGTCAATCATTTTAAATTATAATTTAAAATGAATAAAAGTTTTAAAGCTTTCGCGGACCATATTTTAGCTCTTGTGGACCACTGGTTGGGAACCGCTGCTCCAAAGCAAGAGCTAATCAATCATTTTTATAGTAATTTTTGAATTCAGCAGAAGAAATTGTTGTCCAGTGTAATAGGTTTCACAGAGACTTAGTGTATATAGGATCTACAAAAAGATCATTGCAAAAAAGGCTAAAGGAACATAAATATGACATAGACAAGGGTAAGAACACCACAGCACTGGCAACATATGCATCGGACCCAGATAAATATGTTGACCTTGAGAATGCAGTTCTAATAAGGAAATCATTCCAAACTGATCACATACGGGCATTGGAAAAATTAGAGATTTACAAAGCTGAAAGAATAGGGAACTGCATAAACTATAAGGCCAATGACACAATATCGTATGTGTGAGGCTCTGGACAGGTCCGAACCCTCACTAAAATTCGTGTTAAAATAATTGTTTTAGAGAAAAAATATATAGTAGTTAGAAATAGATTTTTATTTTATGAAAACGCGACACTAACTTTTAAACAATAGAATAATGTAAGTCCATCAATCATTTCCAGTTGGAGATCGAATTAAACTTCGATTTTGACCTCTCCCACACCCCCGAAAGGTTTCAAATTGTCATCAGGTGACGAGGAGAGACCAATCGGAAAGGGGAATCTGAGAGAAAACGGATAAAACCCCGGAAATTCAAGGACGCGACGGTTTCTTCTTCCGAAAGTTCCAAGTGATGGACCTGTTGTTGTGTGTGTGTCTTGCACCCATCTTCGTCTCCATCTCCCGACCTCAGATTGACATCTTTACATCAACAGAAGTCGACCGTATTGTCCCGGAGTCTTTGAGATGTGATGGAATGGTTCATTCACGAACAAGGGACACTCCTTCAAAATGGGACTATCTTGGAAAGGAGAGGAAGACCCAGAGGCTGCAGCCACCGCAGAACTTCCAGGATCACAGAAATCTTGTAAGCTTTTTTCGTGTTTAATAAACGGTTGTGTTGTTTGTAAACGAAGCATCTATCTCTGACTCAACTGCTTCCACATGTCGTTGATCGGCAATCCAAACGGTAAGGGAGACGATGACGATACATATCACATATTATTGTTCATTGAGTTTCTTTTTAATTTCCCCCCCTCGGCCCCCACATATGCATGGCAGTATGCATATGAGAATGATCCCCAAGATTAATGCCATTTTATACATATAATATTTGTCTAAAGCATTAGTTTGACGACTGTGTCCTTAAATATTGCATGTCAGAATTTCAAACTCTTGATTTATATGGTATTTAAATATTCAAATTCTGGGCATTTCAAAGTTAGAACACCTTTGAACCTGAAGAAGAACTTGGTGAAGATTCATAAACGTTTGTTCGCTCAAGTAAACATTGTAATTTACTGGAAACACAAAAGTTTTGGCAGGATCAGTTTATTATTTTACTTACAGAGTTTTTACAAATATAATTTTTTAATTACTTTTTTTACTATTATGTAATTTGTAATTATAATTTTTAATAAAAAGATATGTTTATGTAAATTTTTGTTGTTATTTTATGATTTTAGTGATTTTGCTGTTTTGCAAATTTTTCTGATATTTTGAAGTGTTCTGTGACTTCAAAAAGGTAAGAACCACTGTGTTAAACTCAATGAGTAAACAAACAGGCAGAAAGCCTGGCTTTACAGAGACTGCCATTTTAAAAAAATGCCAGATACCATAAAAAACACTATATACTGTGTAGGGGCCTGTAAAAAGCTTTGAGTTAATGCAGTTTAATTTAGCAAGGTTTTGTTGTATTCCAAACTATTATAAAGAAATTATTATAGAAATACAGTAAGACCCCACTTAACACAGGATGTGTTCCTAGACAACAAAGCGCTAAGCGAAACAGAATTAAATGAGGTCATTTTAACATAGAGTAAATAGGAATAAGAGAACATGCAACCAAAAATAAACAAATTCTACTTTAATTTTAAGTTATTTTTATATTAATTTATATAATAATATATGTTAGATAACATATAAACATATACACACAGAAATGTAAAGTTCATTTTTTGTGACAAAGGTCTTGACTTTTCTGAAATTCTTGTTCTTTTGCAATAAAGTCGTGAAGTTTCATTTGTTGCTTTTTTCTTTCCTTAAGCAAATGTCGGTAGTAGAAGATTACATCCAAAACGCCTTGTTTTGCTGTTGCACTCCTTTCAAAATCTGGATCATTCATTACAATTTGATCAACGATTTCGGTTATCATTACCAAACTTTTACTAAGGAAATCTGTAGAGAAATTTTTTGGGTTCTTCATTTTCAGAATCTCTATTTTCCAGTTCCACACGAATTCCATGTTCTGCCAGTTCTCGAAGGTCGTTGTTGGTAAGGTTCTCACCAGAAACCTGTTGTAACTCCTCAATATCCTGCTCATCTATATCTACTAGTCCTGCTATATTGATTAGATTGAGTTTGGTCAACCTAACGATACAGCTATAGGCTCTTCTTGTTGAGAATTCTTGGATATCTCAGCCATAACTTCTTCCACACTTTGTTCGTGCATTTATCAGTTAATTCTTGCCAAATGAAGTCGATATTGCCTATGTCATCCATGATGTTATATTTTTTCCAAAATTGCACAAAACAAACATAGATTTAAAGAAAGTACACCTTTTTGCCACCTTTTGCTGATTGGTTTGTGTTTGCCAATAATTGTATTATATACAAATCCATGAAATGGCATGATAATTTAAATCAGCATAAATTTTGAGCTTTTTTTAGGCTTCGAACAGACCACATTATATCAAATCAGTGTTAAGTGGAGTCTATATATGCACAATTAAACTGAAGTGCCAAAACATTAGACACATTACCTAATAATGTATAGCTACTCCCTGAGCCTGAATAACAGCGGCTACATGATGTGGCATAGACCAGTGTTCTGCAACCAGTGTGCCGTCACATGGTGAAAGGCGTGACGTGAACTTTTGCATATTCTGTTAATTTCAAATTTTATTTATATATTTTTATCACAGTTATTGTGTTTCTTATGCTTGTATTTCATTCTCTGCTGCAGTACTGATGAAATAAGATGATGTTTGTTTATTCTTTATTACAAGCCACGCATTTTTATGTATTCTAAGAAATTATATGTAAAAAAATTTTGCTCACAGGTGTTGATGTCTGTTTAATAACAATAATAATAGGTTAGTGGCATTACGTAATTCTATTAATAGTATCATATCATACATTTTTGAGGGGAATAGCATTTTCGTGTGCCGTGTTGAGTCATGGGTGTGCCGCAAGTAGAAAAAGGTTGCGGAACACTGGCATAGACTATATGAGATGTCTTGAGTTGTTGCACAAGTATCTCAATCCAGACATGTTCAATGGTTTTCCGCAATTCATTTATATCTGTTAGATAGTTCTGCAAGGCATTGAGTAATGTTTGCACAAAGTCACATAAGTACTCTATGGGGTTCAAGTCTGGTGACCGATGTGGCCAAGAGAGTAACTGAAAATCTGTCAAGTGTTCTTGAACCATTATTGTGCCACCCATGCCCTGTAGAGACTAGCATTATCCTGCTTATACAAACCATTACTGTCGGGGAACATAGCAAGCCTAAAGCAGTGCAAAACATCTGACACAAGATTAGTATACGTACACCTGTCAAAGTTGACTGCAATCTCACCATTAGTCCCTGTTCACACCAATAGAATATACTCCAAACCAGAACAGCTGCCACCAGCTTGCATAACATCTTACTGACATGGTGGATTCATGGCTTCATGTGATTGTCACCACACATGAACATGACTATCAACTCTAAAGAGCTGGAAACAAGATTCATCTGACCAAATAACACTGTGTTAGTCATCCACTGTTCAATTTTGATGTTCTTTGGCCCAGATGGGTGCATTGCCTGATTCCTGTGTTAGTAATGATACAGAGTGGGTCAGCAACTTCCAAACAATGCACTGTGCAACATACACGGGAATGCTGTGTATGTTGCACAGTGCATTGACTGATGGGTTCAGCAGTGCCCCTGTTGAAATCTGATGTGATCTGATGCCAAATTGCCCTTTGTTGCATGGTTAATAACCTGGTTAGCCATCAACAATCATGTTCTTTCATCAGCCATGGACACCCACTCTGTGATGCACTGCTGATGTCTGTCTGGAATTTAAATATTCCTGGTAAACCCTTGAAACTGTTGCACGAGAAAATCCAAGAGCATTGGCCACCTTACTGATAAAGCCAGGTGGCCAATGCTCTTGCTATAACAATCTATCCATGATCAAACGATAATAAATCCTTTACATGGCCCATTGCTACTCTAACTAAGCTCATATAAAATGGATAGGTATCATACCTATGGTGTCAAAGTAAATGTTTTAGCCCAAAGTATTTCCCCTGTGAAGAAAGTAACATTGCACATGCTGCTGTTTCTAAGTTTTTGGCACTTTAGTTTATCTATAGTAAAAAATTTCAATATTGAATAATTGTCTGAATTTTTTTTTTTTTTTCTTTTAGATGCTGAGACATCTGCAAGCTTATATTCAGAATAAAAATTTACCATACTTATTTTATGAAAAATGTAACTTAATTTCTAAAATGGGAGATCAGCAAGCAGATAACATTAATCGTCGATTGAGTAGAATAATTCAAGACATTGAAAATGATCCTCAAAAAGTATTTGTATATATGTAATTATTTTTCAGGTAATTAAAAATTGTTTTTTCTATTTTAAAATAATTTACATTTTAAAAATACAGTGAATTCTCGATCTATTGTTCCCATATCAAATTAGCATGTATATATATAATGTTAATTTTTCCTGTATTCTTCGTTCCTACATCATTCCTTTTCCTGCAATGTTCATTCTGTATTTTAACTGAAAGAAAAAGTTATCCTGCATTAGTCATTTTACTCATATAACAGAGGGTACTAAATTGAAACACTGATTTTCATGTACTAAGAATAAAAATATATCAAATTTAACAGTTAAATCCTTTGACTACAGCTAATCAGTTTTTATTCTGATTTTTGGCTACTTTTTGTCTACTGCTTTACAAAATACTGTTCTTTATTGGCAACATTTTCTCGTAAAGCCTGGCAATACTTGTAAAAATTAGCATATTGTTTCAGCATTGCTATCTGTACGATAATTATTGTATTTGTACAATTATTTCAGGTACTGTACAATATATGATACCAATAGGGTTTTGTTCAATAATTTCTTGAATATGCCTTACTCTGAAAACAACTTAATTTTTGAAAAAACCTATTTGCAATTACTATTTTAATATGTATTGCCTTTTCATTGATATTTTGTATCTTTTTTGCCACTAGAGGGCTACTAAATTTTCGGAAGTTTTTAGATTGGCTACTACCATATATTCTCAATTATAAGGCACACCTTTGTCATACTATTGAGACTGCTAACTGCTATACTTTAGACCTATTGATAAAATGCTCAAATTGATGTGAAATGAAAATTTGTGCCATGTATTAATGTAATACTGTAAACCTATAGAGTAGTTTCCATCTAGTGAACTGTCTAAAACTGAAACTTTTTTGGCACAGGGAGTTGTGACCACTCCAGGTGTGGACTAAAAATTTTAGATGGTTGCAAAAATTTGGAAAAACTGAGGTTTATGCATATCAAATAAGTACAGTATATAAAGCTTTAAGCAGGAGTGTAACATATCTTTGAATGGTGGTTCTAATGTTTTAATCATCTTGGCAATCAAATTTGAAGTCACATCATCATACAGAAGATTATAAATGAGTATTTCTTTATTTTCTGCATATGTGTTTACAAAAAGATCAGGTGATATTTCGTATTTATTTACAAATTTTGATAATTTACAGTATGAAGTATCACCTGAATTTTTTACAAACACAGATATAGAAGATAAAGAAATACTCATACAGTTTGTTTCATAAGATTGGGTTATCAATTTCTATGCTTTAATAAACTCAGAGTTTCTACGCACTTGGAAAGTCAGGGAATTTATCAAAAATTGTCAAAAAGTCAGGAAAAGTTAGGGTATTTACCTCATTCACTGCTTTATTAATTTTTTTTGCTCACAATATGGTTGACTGAATGTAGTCATCTGCAGGCAGCAAGAAGTAATGTGGTGCAATGCAACTTATTAAAAGGGGTGCAGAATATTTTCAGGATCCAAAATTTCCCCAAAAATTATTGCACACAAAATAAAACCATAATTTATGAACCAATTAATAATTATCCGTACATAGTTTGGAAAATTCAAATTAAATCATATATGTAATTAAATACATCTACCATACAATTTGCCATGCAACACTAAACTGATAAGTTAACATAAAATTATTTTATATTAAAAAATGCTTTAATTAAGCACGTTTCCATCATCATAGGATAGCATATACAATTATAAACTTGATGTAATATGTTGATTAATAGAAATAAAATTGAATTCAGTTCCTTTATGGCACTGAATTCAATTTTATTCTGTACATAAATTCATTAATAATGTCTCTGGAACAGTGTTTTTCTGAGGAGAACTTGCCCACATTCTCATTGCTTACGTTGCACCCTCACATAATGCTTGATATGATGTATGAGGATTGTTTTTAAAAACACTACAACTTTTGTACTTACTACAATTTGAATGATTTCCTCAGTGAATTAATAGAAATAAAATTCAGTGAAGCTGAACTTTGATACTGTGTAGTTGTAGCCCTCTGCCTTATACGTGTCGTATAGTTTTTTTTTTTTTTTTGCTTTTTGGGCTACTTTTCAGCCGTGGGGAAAAAGGGGTGGCAACTTGGGGAAGGTGTAAGGGAAGTATTTAAGGCCATGGACCGGATAGGGGTGGACCCTTCTTACCTCGTGGATCGAAAGAGGAGTCAAGGAACACGTGGTGCTCCTTCTACTGTGGACTTGGTTTTTTTTTTTTTTGTTGGTGTGTTCCTGAATCAGATTGGATTACAATGAGTGTAACAGCTAGGACTATAGAATTGTAACGGTGAGAATTTTTTTTATGTGTGAAAAAAAATTGTATCTGGTGATCCGTCGTTATAATTGTACCTTGTGATCCGTCGTTATAATTGTATCTTGTGAACCGTCGTTATAATTGTATCTTGTGAACCGTCATTATAATTGTATGAAAACGTATGTACTTTGTCATACTTCTATAAACTTATTACAAACTGGTTTCTTTGTCTCTCTTCCCCACGTGGTGGACCACCTACACTCACAATTAGTGAGACCAATAAGTCTTACGAGTTTCCACAATACAACCAATGGAAAGAAAAAAATGTGCCAATATTATTTTATTAAAGGCACTGAATTCAATTTTATTGATTATTGATTGATTATTGATACTGATTATTTTTATTTTTAGCACAGACAGTAATTAATGGACTTTTTGACATCTAAAAATGCAAATTTATTTATGACACTTCAGAATGAATTTTTCTAAGGCTAAAAAATTTCAGTTAAGGATGAACTTCAAGTAATGAACATTGAAAAATATTGTAAAAAGGAAACTTTCCATATTATCAATATTATTTTTCCACCATCACTGTTTTGTCTAATTTAGCTTCTAAAACACTTCTTTACATTATTTATGTTAAATTATTTTAACTAAAGTTAATAAGATAAGTTACATACATTTACAATTTAAATAATTTCATTAAAACATAATTTTTTGAAATTACTTGAAATTTTAAACAATACAAGCTAAGTCTGGGCCCTGGTAATTTATACTGGCTTTCTTATATGCTTAGCCTATCAATGGATTAGCAGATAAAACACTGGTAGGTGGTCACAGGTTTGCATCTCACTCATGGGCTGGCCACATAGAGTTCTCCAGGTTTTATTCAAAAATTTAACACCTAACTAGAGTTAGTTTTGTGTAGAAAGTCTTCCTGGGAGGCATCCCTCCTTGCCAGATTTTCAGGTGTTCCATTTCCATCTCCCATCAATCAAGCCATTCATTCAGAATGGATAGATTCATCTCAGAACAAGGGTGTAATCAGGATTTTCTCCATGAGGAGCAAAAATAAGATAATGTTGTTTTTTAATAAACAACATTATCTTATTTTTGCATCCAAATAAAACCATATTTAAAAATGGTTTTGTTTGAACAGTTGAAAATGCTAAAAGTAATTAGTTGCAATGCTATTCAAACTTATCTAAATCTTATTTCAGCACTAGCCTATGGGAGTTCTGGCTAAATCTTGTCAAAATTTCTTTATCAAATTTATTTTTAGCTCCCAGAACAGTCTTTTTATGCACACTCATCATACAAAGACCAACAAGCTGATTTTCTGTCATTGTTGATCGTATCCAAGTTTTTACGCTGTGTAAGGTGCCGAAGGACCTTTCAATAGTGCATGTTGTGCAGGACTGTGCAAGTGATAAGTAGTGCCTGTTTTATGGATGGGTAGAACAATTGCATTTCTTTAACTAGTGCAGCTAGTTCTATCTCCTTCAGTTCAGCATTTGGCACATTTTTTTCTTTCCATTGGTTGTATCAAAGTTCAGCTTCACTGAGGAAATCATTCAAATTGTAGTAAGTACAAAAGTTGTAGTGTTTTTAAAAACAATCCTCATACATCATATTAAGCATTATGTGAGGGTGCAACGTAAGCAATGAGAATGTGGGCAAGTTCTCCTCAGAAAAACACTGTTCCAGAGACATTATTAATGAATTTATGTACGGAATAATTAGTGATCTTCTCCAAAACTCACTAGGAGTCTGTGCTGGTGGATTCACATGATGTTTCTGATGATTTATGACTTGCGGCATAATGAAATCTGTTCCAAGATGCTTGGCGATTGTTTCAGTCTCTGCTATAACACTAACTTTCAACAACCACATTTTCATGATGTTTTCTCATGATGTCTGTGTGATTTTTTTTGTGTGATTTACACATTGAAGTAAGTCGACACTTTTTGACTGAAGAGCATTTACTACTGGTTGCAGGAGCAGTGAATATTTTTCTCTGAGACAAATGCTAACAATGAAATCTGATTTTGTAGCAGCTCAATGCATTTGAAAAGCACCATAAAATTTGCACATAATGTTCCTTGAATGTGGCAATACTTTTATATTTTTGAGACAAACAGGTTTCACAGAGCATTGATATATTTGGTAGGTATGCATTTTCGATGAAGGGCTAAAGTTGTTAATTGCATCCATATCAGTCAACTCTATAAATTAAACCTAGAAATTCCTCACAAATCATCATCTTTTCTTTGTCAAAAAATCTAACCCCAATGGAAAGTTGCTCTTTCCCTGATATGTCACTGCTCTCATCTGCCAGGATACTGTAAGCACATGCTTTCTTTTTGTCAGTAGTGATGTTGTCTCTAATGACATTGCCACATAGACCAATTCTTTCATTTTGAATCTGTGGTGACATGTAAGTGGTATTTTTTGCACTCTTTTCTATGTGCTCTTTTAATGTGTGGTCACCAGTGTCAATTTTGAATTTGACCAAGTCTTCAAAAACACTTTCATGATGTTCTTTGCCCCTCAAAGGTAGGTCATGTATACCACAAAATATCATAGTTGAAATTATTGATGCAATAATTTTCTTGTTGGTGGACAGAAATCAGCTGTACATTAACAGGTATATTTTCAACAAAACATTTTGCAGCTGTGGCTGCTGATTTGTGCCACTGAGATGATGTGTGAGATTTCATGAATTTGTGCATGTCTTTATAGCGAGTAAAGGGCCTCACTATGAAAGAACCCAAAACAACATGCACGTTAGTTGGTGGAAACAATACACAGTAAATGCATAACATGCCCTTTAATTTCTTGGAATATGCCAGCCAAGGAGCATAATCCACCAATCAGCTGTATTTGAATTTTCTTTTTAATTGCACATCATCCTTACAAAGTCATAACTTGGAGTTGATGACCAACAGTTTTTTAAAACTTCCATTTTTTGAGATGCAGTCATACTAAACAAACATCCGAGCCAAGTAACCCACATCGTTATCAAAATACGTTTCATCCTGTGCACCAGAATTAGATAGTAGCAAAGATCCACTTAATGCACTTAAAACAGCAATAGGTGCAGGTATAGGTGCAGTTGTACAAGCATCAACATTCTGCTTTGATTTCTCTTCTCTGCTGCTATCACTTTCGCTACTACTTTTAATTGGTTGCTTCCTCTTCTGTTTCCCTAAAAGAAAATAAATAACTACTACTACACTTCCCAAAAAAATTAAAAGAACTAAGATTTAAGCTTTTGAATGGACTTTCTACACTAAAAACTTCAATCTTAAAAAACCTTTAATATTTTGTACAAATTTGTTTTATTATTTGCAACTAGCAGAAGTAGCTAGTTGCAAAATCAACCATTTAGAAAAAATATATTTCTTTGCTAGACTATACATACGAATGAGTCCAAATCCTTCAGTCCTTTCACATATTTGTAGAGGCATTAACAAATCTTCGGCAGAACTGACCTTTTATTATATGCTACTTGACTGCCATCAAATGTAAAAAAGTTAAAAGTCCTCTAGCTCTAAAAAAGTTTCTGAATGTGAATTCATCCTGGCAATTTTTATTGCAATTATTAATTTTATAATTGTGTTTGCTACTGCTAGAGGACTTTTTAACTTTTTTTAGAGGACATCAAAATCACTATTACAACAAAAAAAAAAAAAAAAAACAGTCTTTGCATTTCCTAAAGATTTAGGTTGCTTTAATTAGATTGTTTATCAACTCAAATGAAAATAATATAGATATATATCTTAAGTTCTAAAAAGTTTCTAATATCCATTTTAGATTGATATTGTTATGGGGTTGTGGTCCAAAAATTAAATAAATGCGTGAAAAATGTTAATGGATTTATTAAAACACTTATAGCACACAATACAAGTAAATACAGCACTTATTAATTTAAAACAACATAAGAAATCTAGTGTTGCACATGGACGCAACGACATTTTAAATACAGTCGACCCCCCTATAACGTGGGTTCCTATAACGGAAATTCCTATAATGTAGCGAAAAAATTGTAGCAATATTCGTATAAAGGAACTCCTAAAACGTCGTTGCCGACCCGTGTCGCAACAAGATTGATAGAACCTGGACCAATAATGGATGAGCAACCGAACTACTTTCCTCCGCCCTGCGCCACGCTACGGAGAGTTTAGGCGGCTAAATTGAGTTTGCTATCGTCTGTACAGTATTATATATAAATTAGGTACTGTATATATAATTATATATTAACTTAATTTATTGTAACTTTATTATAATTATATATATAATTTCCGCCATCTAGCGCCACACAACGGAGAGTTTAGGCTAGTAAGTTGAGTTTATTATCGTCTGTACAGTATGTAAATTAGGTACCGTAAGTCTAATACAGCACTAATTTTACACATTTCTTGTGAAAGAAACATTTCTTATTCAACGGCCATAAAAATTATTTATATTAATGATGTCTCCAAAGGTCAAGTTATTTTTCTGCGAAAAATTCGTTATCAGATATCGCGGCCGCCGTTTCGTGCGCTGTTCCGCGACGAAAACAAGCTTGAGCAACTGTCGAACGGTGCACACTCGGTAAGTAATCCTACAATTTTTTGTTTATAGCATAGTTTATATGGATTATTCCCAAAAAATTATATGTGTTTTGGAAATGTTGAGTGGAATTAGTCTAGAATCGGTTAATTTTATAGAAGAAAACCTTTCAAAGAGCGTTAGTCCGTAAACTTTACACGTGTCGGGCTGCGATTGGCTCATGTATTTAATGATTCCTACAACATAAAATTTGATTAACGTGGAATGTATCTAAGCATTATAGGGTGGTCTACTATAAACCTCACTCACTGTATGTTCTGAACAAGCTCAAATGCACCAACTCACTCAACTGACTTACTCATACCGATTGCAGCACTTAAATAGGGAATAGACGGTACTAGAACTTTACCTCTAAATCCGAACCTTGAACATTCTATAATCTTTGATGGTTAGAAGCCAAAATGTGGGATCATAGTGAAGGACAAGAATCTAGATGTAGCAGCAATACCACATCTCACAACACAACGGATAACAACGATGGCTGTATATCAAAACCCACAACTCTACATTCTAAGTTTATATTTTACACCAGAGGACGAGGATGAAAGCTGTATTGCAGAATTGGAAAAGGTGATTGAACAGCTCAATAGCAATAACTATATTTTGGTGGGTGATGTGAATGCCAAGTCTCCTAATTGGTTCCACCCAAGAGAGGACTACAGGGGCCGGTTAATAAATAACTTGATGGATAGCCATGACTTGTTTTCCGCTAGCATATCAAACTACCCAACGTTTTTCATGGCATACGCCGAAGGGTGGACTGATGTCTTCCTCGCCCCAATTGGCATAAGTGGCAACATCATTACCTGCAAGACACTCCTTCAGGAGTCGGCGAGTGAGCATAGGTTCATTTATGCCAAAATGACAAGAACTGACCAAAAAATGGTGAACTACAGATATACAAGGAAAACAAACTGGGACCTGTTTGCCAAATACTTTGCTGACCATTGGCGAAGATACAGATTTCACGATATTGAAAGTGAAGAAGACATGAATGAATATACAGAACATATCACAAAAGCAATCCAGGAAGCGGAAAGGCTATCAACAAGAATGATCAAAACAGACATAAAAAGAACAATCTGGTGGACAAATAACTTATCTGAACAGCAGAAAAACGTCCGAAAGTTGAGGAAGAAAATGACCAGAGCCAGAAATGACGAACTTAGAAATAATCACAAGGAGGAATACAGGAAGGCTCTAAAAGAATACAAAAAAGACATAAATAGCACGCATATAGAGGCCTGGCGGGATTTCTGTGGAAAAGAACTGAGGAGGAATCCATGGAATGTGCCATATCGAGTAATTTTCAACAAAATGAGGAAATGTCAGGTTCCCAATTTGATTGGAGGAAATGGGAATAACCCGGAATTGGATATTATAGAGAACACCAGAAGAATTTTACAATTCCATTTTCCTATCGATGACAAAACCAAAGACTCAGACTTACATAAAAAAAAATGAGGAACGCAACACAACATCAATCTATGCAAATACAGGACAGCCATTTTACTTTTCAAGAAGTGCAAGAAGCCATACTATCGACAGCAAATAGAAAATCTCCAGGCTTGGTTAACTGCGGAAACAGTAAAAAATGCATTTAAAGCAATACCCATGGCAATTGTATACTTATACAATGAATGTCTGAGGACAGGATTCTTTCCAGCTGCGTGGAAAAAAGCAAATATCAAATTGATTCCAAAAAACACAGAATGCCAGCAAACCTGAAGACTTCTGTCCAATTAGCCTTCTCCCAGTCTTGGGGAAGGTGCTGGATGGGTTGATCATTAAAAGAATTAATTGGCACCTAAATACGACCAAGAAAAGCAGCTACAAACAATACGGGTTTAAACCTAGGACTTCAACAATTCATGCAATCTTAAAAGTTACAGACTTTATACATAAATCATGGGAACACGGTCGACATGTCATGCTCATTAGGATTGATTTCAGAAAGGCTTTTGATAATTTATGGTGGCCGAGTGTAATAAACCGGCTAATAAAAACAAAATGTCCAAGCAACATAACAAACCTAATGAAAAATTATTTATCTAAAAGAACGGCAGGCTTTTATACCAACAACATCAAAGTGGAAGTAGAAGTAACAAAAGGGTGCTTGCAAGGGTCCAGATGCGGACCGGGTGTTTGGAATTTGGTCTTGGACGAACTCCTAGAGCAACAAGAGGACACAGAGGAGTTAAGAATACAGACATACGCGGATGACACCCTGATTATGGTCGCGCACAAAAATTGTGATCAGGTGGCAGAAATTGCAAATAACACACTGGCTAAAATTGGGACATGGAGCAACAAACAGATTACCAATAAACTACGAGAAATGCAAGGCTATCGTAATAACCAGAAAGAATAAAAGAAGTCAATTGAAAAGAGCAATTGGAGTGAAAATACATGGGAAAGGGATAAAGAATGTGCAACAAATGAAATACCTGGACATTGTGTTCGATAGGACCCTAAATTGGCAGCATCATGTCAACTATGTCTGCAACAAAGCCACAGCAAGATCTAACCAGCTAAGCAGCATAACTAGGAATACTTGTGGTCTTCACCCGAAGCATACCAAAACAATTTACTTACAGGCTATAGAACCTGCGGTGCTCTATGGAGTTCAGATCTGGAATGCAGCTCTAGATAGAGTTCAATTAAAAAGGAAGCTATTATCAATTCAGAGGAAATCAGCGATTAGGATTTGTAGAGCATATCAAACATCGCCAACAGATGCCCTATTAGTCATTTCAAACCTTACACCTATACATCTAAAAGGAAAACAGATAACCTGAGAGTGGATGCTTTTTAATAAGAATTTCACTGATATATTGGAGTCTGATATAGAACAACTACAGAAAAAGGGCAACTTGCCACCAGACAAAACAAAGGACATCTCTCATTTCATTCAAAGGATAGACCATAAATTAAAATCAAGGATTTACCGATCGACCCCAGGATGAGGTGCCCATACAAAGTCCTGTTGGAATACGATAATACCACAAATCAAGAAAACAAGCAGCTAATAACAATATACATGGACGGATCAAAGGACAACCAGGGAGTAGGATCTGGATTCATAATCAAAAAAAGGAAATAAGACAATGTATCAGGCAGCTTTCAGGCTGGCGAATGAATGCATTATAACCCAAGCCGAGTTATGGGTGATCTATAAGACCTTCTCATACATAAAACAACTAAATTTAACAACGCCAAAAAAGATAACCATTTTCACGGACAGCAAGGTCGCCTTATATATTCTCAAAACAATGAAAACCAGCTTGCCACTCGCAGCAGATCTAATTGCTCTTGCCCATGACCTAGGACAGCAATTTGAAATCTTGTTCCAATGAATACCAAGTCACAGTGGTTATAGAGGCAACAAACTTGCTGACAAATTGGCGAAAAAAGCAAGGACGAACTCAAACATTACATACACTCGTTTCCCAGTTAATTATGTGTACCGCTATATAAGACAAGAAATCAGTATCCTATGGCAAGGGGAATGGGACAAGTCAAACACCGGAAGACAATGCTACAAATTTATTCCTTCAATCGAAAGACAACACAAAAACTAAAGTTTCTACCCAAGCTACGAACTCACACAATTTCTCACTGGACATGGGGCGTTCAATGCCTACTAACAACGCTTCAGGAAGAAGAACTCCAACAAGTGCGACGTCGACATAAATTCTGAAGACACCGTAGAACATCTGATCTACGATTGCACCAAATACAGAGACCAAAGACTAAAACTGATGGGGACTTGTCTCAAGGAAGGTTTCAATTGGCCTCCGGATGAGCACAATTTCATCGACAACAAAAATTTGATGAAAGCCATCATCAAATTTATTAAGGAGAGTAAGGCTCTCGATCCACCGAGCGGCTCTCCCAACGATGGAGTATAAACGTTGTTAACGCCTTGTATATATGTACATACGTTCAAATGTAATTGTTTTCTGATCTTAATAAATGCAAGGCAGCGCCCATGGGATCCCATGGAGGGGCTTTGGGCTATTTCTTATTTCACACTGTCCTATCTATCTTTATTTCCTCTTCCTCCTAATCATCAACTCTCCTAAACTCTTCTTTCATATTCTTACAGGGCAAAGTCCTAGCTAAAAGGATAGCCCTTCTTAACTGTAGAACAAGAACAAGTCTTACCACAGACCATCCAGACCTTGAACCGCCAGTTCCCCACTTGTTCACCAGAGTGCTCCCATCACTGACCAACACGATAGCATCTTCCCGCCACAATTCAAACATGCTTTCTTGCTGCACAATACTATTATAACCTATTGACCTATAATTTTTCATTTGACTAAATGAGCCAGAGGGCAAGTGCCCTACCCTGCCCCACTGTGGTTACACCCCTGTCTCAGAATGAAATGAATAGATTCTGCTTTCTTTATCTGATACCATTGAAAATTTTTGCAGTGTGTAGTGATGAATAGTAGAAATTTTCATGTCCAAGTAGTTGAAATAATTTTGGTAGCAGATTTCTCAACAATGTTTGGTCCACAGTCTAGGCAAATATGTTGACAGTAAACTAGGAAACTGACAGATTATTAACAGGTCTACCAGGTGAAGTTTGAGGAACACTAGGTTAACGCATGCTATTGAGATATTTTGTACTTAGACATGTAGTTCTTCCAATTTTTCAAAAATTGTATTAAGTTTTTCTTTTACAATTTAAAGATACACTTTTGTTGTTAAGAATATTAAAACTATTACAGTGAAATGTTGACTTATTGTATGGGTGTGCATAATAGAAATGTAAAGAATGCACAAGTGCTATTCATCAATTTTTTTTTTAAACTATACCTAAAAACCTTTATGTAAATTGACTTAATACCATCAATTCACGTAAAGTTGTGAAATTTCAGATTCACTGCATAATGTATAAGAAAAAGATTTCTTTGTTTCTGAATGGAAAGTTTAAAATGTTTATACAGTAGTAACTTTATTTTGCTTTTTAGAGAATTTTTACTTTATAATTTTATAAGTTTTGATGTTCTATTATATGTTCAATATTTATTTTTTAAAATTTCAATTATTGTATTTATAATTTTTATAGAAAAATATAAATTACATAAATTTTTAATAAGCAATTTATTATGAAATATATAGTACTGTATAATAAAATCACAACTGATATTTTGTTTTTATATTGACAATATTTTTTTTTTGTAAAATTTCTTTGTAAATGTCATTGTTAAAGAAATAATAATGCTAAATGGGCATTCACAGTATTGATGTTTACATAAATGTCAATTAATACGATACAACCATGAATAAAATTCAGTATTGAAAAGCTAAGCTTATTTTATATCAGAAACATTTGCTGATGAAAGAATAGAGAATAGAGATTCCATAGCATGTATAATCTGTTTAGTAAAAGCTTAGAATTTTTAGTACTCTGTTATATTGTGCTTTTTCTTTGTCTTCCAACAAGCACGATATAATGAGGGACTACTGTATTACTGATTTTTTCATAATCAGCAAATTATTTCAAAAAATATCCAATAGAAAATTTGTTAATAGCAAAATTCTAGAAATTTTAGTATTTATTTTTCCACCATTCTCCAATAGAATAATCATGATTACTTTCTTCATATTATCCTTTTTAATTCTTCTGTAGTAATAACAACCAGAAAATAATTCAAATACCATATTTACTTGCTTATAAGACGATCTCGCATATAGGACGAGATGTGACTTTAAAGATCAAAATAAAGAAAAGTAGATTTATTAATACAATTCTAATTTTATTTCGTTTAATCACAAATAAAATAATGAATGCATGTAAATGCACACATTGACCCGCAGAAATTACTGGTATTTTAAACTTTAATGAAAAATCTTGTAAAATCGACAACATAATTTCTTCATGTAAAGCTGGACAATGGGAAACCTTTTATGCCGATTATTAACAGTCGAATCCACTCTCCGTCAGTTACACTTACAAGTTTCTCTGAATTCTTATTTCCAAATAATCATTTGTTTTCATGTGGGAATGGATTAAAACTTGTATCGGGCTTCTGTATGATTTTGGAATTCAATTCAAAAGCTTTGCTTTTCCTATTGCTATTCATCTTTACTCCTGACAATACACAAGAAGGATTCAAACGACCCAGATAAAATACTTTTGTTTTTTAAACACCAGAGGGTGAGCATCCGGTAAAAAGTGCAAATACACAGTTCACAAAATTATTGCAAAAACGCAAAGGACGACCTAGGTTTTTGAAGCAGTGAAAAATAAATAAAAACCTCGTCTTATATGCGAGTAAATATGGTATATCATACAAATATCCTTTTCACATTCCAGCACAATTATTTAATTAAAAATATAAAAACTAAGTCATCTATACACTTCTATCACATTGTGCAGAAATGTGCAGACAGCTTAGTTTCTTCTATATGTTTAATTGTGTAAAAATACCATCAGCCATTTTAAATGACAATTTAATGTTTGGACAAATGTTTTCAAACCACTTTTATTTAAATAATTGTGCTAGAAAGTGAAAAAGTTGTTTGTATGATCAATTAGTATTTCAGAAATAATTTTTTTCACATTTTAATAATAATTTTTGATCTATGAAAATTATAAGATCTGTATATTAGAACTGATTACTTTTTTTCTGATTTATTTACAATCATTACTGTAGTTTAGATAAAAAAATGTATTTATTCTTTGAGTATATAAATTACAAAAATATATATTATTGAATTTTTTTTTTTCAGATATTTTGCTCAAGAAATATAATCTGATCATGAATGATTCAGTTAAATCAAAGAAGGGCTGAAAAACTCACTTTGTTAGCATAATGAAATAAATTGCAATTTCAATTACTTATTAATGTAAAATATAAAGACTTGATAACTTAACCAATTAAAAGTAATTTGGTTTAAAATAATGTCTTTACATCATATTAGTTTTTGTTTTATCATGTAATACATAAATATATAATATATTCTTATGTAAAACTATTAATTATATTTTTAATTATATATATATGAAAATTATAAAAATAAAGGGAATAAAGAAAAATCAGAGGTTTACTAGAAGCTGTTATTTACTTCTATTTTAAATGGGAAAAATTATAATGCAAACATCATCACCATAAAGTCTCCCAGTTATTTTCCAAAAGTGTAAGTGTGTTTGGAAATTAACACACAATATCTTGCCTGTGTAAAGTTACTAATAAGTTACAGTCTATCATACTACAATATAAAATACCTCACCTTCTGTTAGGCTTGCATATATGGACTGTTTATTTTGAAAGTGGTGTAAGTCCATTTTTTCTTCTTTCAAAATATTTAAACGTTTGCATTTAGTTCATTCAAAAATATAAATAAAATGTACTAAGTTTGACAATGTTTCTATGACTTTATAAGTATACAAGTTGATTACATAGACTTCTATGTGAATTTAACTAAACGACCAATATAGTCTTTCTGGGTTGTAAATGGACTTACATCACTTTCATAGTTATTGAACTGTAAAAGTAATTAAATTTCAATTATGTAAAACTCAATTTCACTTGAAATAGATTGTTTTATTCTGATTTTGTTTATAAATAATAAGAAATAAAATATTGTTGTTTATTCTCAACATTAAAAATATTAGCCTACTTATTGTTAAACTATTTTATAAGTTTTTATAAGACACTGCTTTTCATTTAAGCTTGTTACGTGGATTTTTTCATTTCATCTATTTCCATTCCATCAAATTATGCTTTTGTTGGTAAAATTCATAGTTTTACTTCTCTCTTATAACGGGCTGTCCATAAATGATGTCCACACTGGAAGGGGAAGGGGGTTAAGACTAGTCGGACGAGGAGGATTGAGTTTCAGTGGACGTCCAGTTTATTTCATTAACTTTTGTATTCGCGTTTTTCACTGGATGCTCGCCCTCTGGTGTTTAAAAACAGAACTACTCTATCTGGGTCGTTCGAATGTTCTTCGTATATTGTCAGCAGTAAAGATGAATAGTAAAAGTAAAGCTTTCTGTTGTGTTCCAAATTGTAATTCCAAAGCCATACGCGATCCCGATATAAGTTTTCATGTATTCCCACATGAAAAACAGATGATTTTTCGTAAATCAGAATTCGGAGAATCTCAGAAATGTAACCGACGGAAAGAGTGGATTCGACTGCTAAGAATTGGAAAAAAAGTTACGAAGTATATGGTAGTATGTTCGAAACATTTTACTCCTGAAGATTATATTTTGTCATGTAAGTATGCTATCGTGTTTTTATAAATATGTTTAGATTATTGTAATTCGATAGTATTAAAAAATCAAACTGAAAAAGATTGCATAGAGTCTAAATATAAAGTAATTTAGTATTTGTATTCATTTTTAACCTATACTATAGGATTATCTTCAATAAAATGTAATTCTATTCAAATTGTGAAATAATTCTTATTTATACTTTAGCATATGCATGTAAAAGAAGACATTTAAAGAAAACTGCCGTACCAAGTTTACTTTTACCAGAGAGCAGTATTTGTACAAAAACATGTTCTAAAAGAATTAAAAGAAATAAGTTTTCAGAAAAAACGTATCAGACAGAAGAAACTTCCCATGCAATTGAGTCAGAAATCAGTGATAGAGAACAAATAGAAGAAACTTCCCATGCAATTGAGTCTGAAATTAATGATAGAGAAGCTGCTGAAACACTTTTAATGTTATGCAATTCTAATTATGATAAAAATTTAAAATGTCACAGATCAGTTGGCATACAAATATCCACTGCAGAATTTTTGGTAAATATACGTAATTTCATTAAGACAGAATCCCAACTAAATTCCATTACTGGTATACCAACTTTTGAACTATTTAATGCTATTGTTAAACTTTTTAGTGATGTATGTAAAACAAAACAAATCAGTAATACTAATTTTTCTTTTGAAGATAAACTTTTTATGGTCCTAATCAAAATGAAATTAAATATTTCTTTTTCTGTTATATCTATATTTTTTCATTGTTCTGTACCAACTGCAAGTAGAATATTTTACCCAAGTGTGAAAATTCTTGCTTCCGTACTTAAGTGTGCAATTGTTTGGCCATCAAAAACAAATATTTTAGAAAATATGCCTAAATGTTTCGACAAGTTTCGTAATGTAAGAGTAATTTTGGACTGCTCAGAAATTACAGTGCAGAGACCAAAGTGTTTAAAGTGTCGAATACGTTGCTACTCACACTATAAAGGTGACACAACTATAAAATTTTTAATAGGTGTTTCACCAGGTGGAATTGCAACATTTTTAAGTAGTGCATATGGAGGCAGAACTTCTGATAAGGCAATCTTTGAACAGAGTGATATCTTAAATTTATTAACACCTTATAGTGACTCAGTGATGGTTGATAAAGGCTTTTTAATTGATAAACTTTGTTTAGAAAAAGGAATAGAAGTAATTCAACCACCATTTTTGAAAAAAAATAAACAACTAAATAAATGTGAAGCACTGAGAACAAAGGATATTGCATGTGCCAGAGTGCACGTTGAAAGATTTATTCAGCGAATTAAACAGTTTAAGATATTTTCAGCAAGACTTCCCTGGAAAATGACTTCTGTTATTGATGAACTTTTAATTATTGCAACAGCTGTAGGGAATCTTTCTTCTCCTATACTGTCAGATGACAAATTTTAATTCAAAATTACCATATTGTAAATAAAAATTATTTTAATAATTGTGTAATTGTTTATATTTTTAATACATTATCACACACAAGATTTTTACAGTTGTCATTTAATAAGATATTCATACACAAGATTTTTTTACAATTTTCATTTAATAAGATATTTACAAGATAATCTTTCAATTAGAACATCCATGTTAAACAAGCATTATGTATTAGAAAAGAAAAAACTTTTTAAATGTTTATATACTTTTAATCTACTCATTACTTTCATTAACTAAAAATGGAAGCATTTTATTAAAATATACTTCTTTTAATATTGAAATAAATTTATTTAAAAATTCATCATCTTTTTTTACTTCAAAAGAAATAAATGAATTATCAAATGATGAATATATAACAAAATCACACACTGGCAAATTAGTTATTAGTAACCCTAGCTGAACCTGACCATAATATTTATGTCTCTTTCTTAATTCAACATTTTCACCATTAATTGTAATAAATTTCAATGCATTCTTTTGAATTAAGGCTTGAATAGGTTCATTCCTTCCCTTTACTGGGCACTTTATTTCTAAAAGAGAAGTTGGAATATTTTGTTTTATTATTATTCCATCAGGAGTATATCCTAACCATGGCAAAGCTGGTGAAATAATCAGGCCAAATTCTACAATTCTCTTGCCAGAATGTGAAGAATACAATTCTCTTGCATCATTTTCATGCAAGAGGCCATATGCTGTATTTTCATTCCCCCCAAAAATATTGCGCTTTGCAAATTTTTCATTCCAATTCGGATTACAATTGAAATGGTATGTATAAAAATTATAGCATATACTGCCTGTAATTCTTTTGTTCCTCTCGTTCTTCCATAATATTTTATTTACTTTACTTTTCACACAAATTCTCTTACATTCTTCATTGGTGACCATAACTTTATTTTTATAATAACAAATCAAACTTTTTGGCAAATCTTCTAAACCAATATCTTTAAAAGTTAATATTAATTCTTTTTTTATAACACTTGTATAATACAATTTATTATAATTAAAAATTCCAATTGAACTAAAATTTTGAATGTGGGAGAAAATAGCATTGACATTGACATCATTATTCTGATTAACTCTGTTGATATCTCTCTTTATTTCTGATAATGATGCAAGGCTTTTCCGTCCTTTCCTATAATAATAATAATAAACTTAATATATTATACCAATCATTTCATATAATTTAAAACAGATAAAACTTACATATGTTTTGTTAGTGAAGAATTTGGTGTAACTTCTGTTAAAATGTTTAAGCATTTTTCGGGATCAATATTTAAAGCTAGTCTGCTAATATTAGATCCAGTATGGCAAAATTTCTTTATTGGTATTATTTCGTAATTAGAATGGACATTTTCTTTTAATCTGTTCCAAGAACATTCCAAGTCTGTCTTAGATAATTTCTCAAGTCCTTCTATGTTATTTCTAAAGATAATGATAATTCATTATTAATTAAGCAACTACCCAAACTTTTTTCATATATTAATTTCTATAATTAAATAAATTCATCATAATTTTAGTTATTTATTTATTGTTACAAAAATGAGGTAAAACAATAAAAAAGCAAGTGGAAAGAATGTAGTATAATAACTAAAACGTAAAGAATTACTAGATTAAGATATATTGAATCTAGAAGTAAATATAAACATTATTAAATCTTAAAAAAACCTAATTAATTAACCTTCAATACTAATTAGCTACTTATATTACACTAAAATACGTATCGTGTTGTAGAAAAAAACAAACTTACCTGTTAAGATAGAGTAATACTGCCAAGCAATGTTTGCATTTTCCCGATTGTCCAGCTTTACAGGAACAAGTTACGCTGTCAATTTTATATGATATGTCGATAAACTTTAAAATTCCAGTAATTTTGTGTGGGATAGAAGTCAATGCTGATGTTTGCAGACAAAGAGCACAAAAATGTACAGCACGATCTTGCTCGTTTTTCTCGACAATACCACATAAAATGACGTGTCCTGCTAGTAATACTTGTTCTCCTTCTATAAAATTTCTCGATGAACTGCTACAAGTAGCATATTTCATTACATCAGATAGTAATATATAATTCATTTTACACTGACGACTAACAAACGACCCAGATAGAGTAGCCATTTTGTAAAAATACAGCGCCCTCTATAGTTCGTGAAAAACTCGTATAGAGTCCGAGTGCAAGTTACTCGCGCGCGCCCTGGTGGCAAATATTTACATAACACATAGGAGTTCTCTAAAGAATGCATATGCGTTGTATC